TACAAGAAGACCTTTCAACAAATAAGGAATTAATCTAAACCTATAAGGAAAACAATAAAATTACAGAATATACAGAGACATAATGTAAATTCTAATAAGGAAAAAACTTAATTTACGGCTTGATTTTCTACGGATACAGTTATAACCATTTGATGCATAAATTTTTTTTTTATGTTTTTTTGAAGCCAATGAATTTTAATGTCTCCATGTTGCATGTAGTTCTGAGAATGTGTTTCTGGTTCAAGATGCGGTCTCCTATTTTATTGCGTACTACCTTTTAGTTCTACTTTATGCTTTGCCTGTTTCTGAAAGTTGGTTAATACGATTGTACATGTTATTATAGCATGGTGGCTGCTTTTGGATCCGGAGCTATGTTTTCTTTGGTGAGTGGAATGGGAGGTCCAAATCAGGTGGCAAATGCTGTCACCTCTGGTCTATTTTTTTCCCTCGTTCAAGGTGGACTTTTCAAGGTGTGCATCAATAAAAACTGTTTTATTATTTCAATACTAGCTGATAGCATTCCCGTTGTTTTGATAATTTTGAAGTATTTCTAGCACTTTCCTGAAAGTCTTTGGCTGTTCCTTTGTCCTGAGCCATATGTGAGAAACTTAAATCTTTCTTATAGCAGAGTGCTGAAGATTTGAAATTATAAGATTATAATTTACTCTTAAATATTCTTATACAGCTCTATCAAAAATTTGGAATGGGTTCTGCTTCCCCATTCCACTTATTGTTAGAGCTTGGCAACAAGAAAAGGAACACCATAGTGGCTTTATGATTTATTCTGTGGCACTTGCTTTAGAGTTAATGACGTTTTGCAGTTAGGGGAAAGGTTTTCTCAACCACCTGCGGAAGATGTGTACTATGCCAAAACAAGAAGCATGTTGAATAACCTTGGCCTACCGAGTTATGAGAAGAATTTCAAGAGAGGCTTATTGACCGATAGCACTTTGCCTCTGCTTACTGATAGGCATGTAAACTTATTTAAAGTTCTCATGCTTAAGATTATGATCAATAGATGATGTATTGATATAGTATACCCCTGCTATGACATGTTCCAGTGCGCTTAGAGATGTCAAAATCCCGCCGGGGCCAAGGCTACTCATTCTCGATCACATTCAGAGGTCTCTATAACCAATATTGTTGTAGATTCTGTTAAATTTTGTCTTTTATGGCTAACTGTTAATTTCAGGAACCCAGAGCTAAGAGGGAGACGAAGCTGATTTAGAGGGAGCCTCTTGCCCAGGAATTTGCAGCTCAAGTGTTTCCGCTCTTGCTAGTTCAGCTGGAGAAGGTAGGGAAATATTAATTCATCTAAAATAGGAAGAATTTGTGTGATAAATAGGGCTATTGTACTTGTGAAAAGTTGAATTGTCCTTAGAATTCGCACTAAAGTCCGTTTTCCATTTTATTGCGGACGGCAGAACCGTTGCTCGGTCTATGAACAACTTGGGTGGTTGATACTTCAGATTTGCTAAATCTTGTAGTCTTTTTTGACAGTTCGCCGGAGAGAACAGTTCTGAAAGACTTGTTCACAGTTTTCAAAATAGTTTTTAGAAAATGTGGTCGACTGATTTCAAGTGTTAGAAGATCATTGTACAATTATTTGTAAGTCTTTAATTCTCGAAAGAACTTAAATTGTGTTTTAGGCAAAAAAAAAAAAAAAAAAGTGGGATAAATGTATATCTAATATTTTATGTTTTGTTTGGCATGCAATTCAAAGCTTGTTTCTTGTTTTCAGATTTCAATAAATCATAGATTTAGTGAATATCTATTTGGTAGGTTTGTTTTTCAAATATATTTTGTAATTATGTGACTCAAATACTTGAAATTTTGAAAACAACATTTTTTGTTTTTCGATTTTTAATTTTAATCTTTAAAATTACTAAGCACTTTGAAAATTTTTTAAAATTAAGATTCTATTTTCAATTATACTACACATATTTGAAAACATTGAAAATATAGGATGCAACTTTCTTTTTCATTTAATTTTACGTTTTTAGATCATCAACTAAATTTAGTTTAGCTAGTTGAATTATGTTGGAAGTACCTTAAATATAGGATGTGGTCAAGTGAATATAATTAGTGGATCTTTGTTCAAAAATTAAAATCAATAATTTTATTATATATTCATATGACTTGTTAATAATAATAATATTTGAAATACTAACAAAGCAGTAGTTATACTTTAGAATAACAAGGATTAAACTGTTTTTTTTCTTTAAAAATAAGTTTAATTATAAGTTTTGTTTTTGAACTTTCAAAATTAGAGTTGAATTTTGTTTATTTTGTGTAGTTTTTAGATTTAATTTGTTCCAACACTTACATGATGGGCTAATTTCTCTCTCCCTCCTAGAGGAAATTCAATCGCATACTCCCTTCTCTCTCTTTCTCTCCTTTCAATGGAAGAAAACGAAAAAGATGGCGAAAAACACCAAGATTCGGCACATTGTTCGACTTCGACAAATGTGCCTAATTTCTCTCTCCATCCTCTCATGGAAATTCAATAGCATACTCCCTCTCTCTCCCTCTCTCCTTTCATTTGAAGAAAACGAAAATGTCACTAGAGACGGCAAAAAGCACAAAGATTCAGCACATTGTTCGACTTCGACAAATGTCACAGCCTCTGTCATAGGAAGGAATACACTGTCAAGGTTCAAAACATCGTCTTGTTCGTGTTGTCGTCGACCTCGTCGTGCATTGTTGGGATTTGCACGAGTGGTGAACTGTTGGAGACAACCTTTGTTGGGCATATAGTAGGGAGAGATCCACACCGTCAAAGAGTCTTCTGAGTCGCATCGTCGGGGAGGGAAAGATCAAGGTCTTGAGAGCTAAGGGAAGAAGACGATGCTGGTGGTGTTGGGTGGCAAGGTGAGAGTGAGAGTATATTTTTAGTATATGCAATATATACCCTAGAAATAATATGACTTTAGGTTGGTTATATGGTATTTGATTAAGAGTTTAAAAAAATATAATTAAACTTAGAAATTATGGGGAAAAAAACTTAGAAAAAGATTATTACTATGCTCGAATTAAAGTAGAGTTACTTCATTCTTGTTTTCCTATTTAAAAATTATGCTTGTTTTTATATTTTTTAAAACTCTTAATCAAATAATATGACTTTAAAGATGCAATAGTATTGTTTTATGTTGGTAATTTTATTTTAAACTTCCCGTTCTTAAATTTAAATAAGTGAATAATATTTGGGTCCAACCATATCTCCAATCCACCAATATATTTTACAATTAAGAGAGCATAAATATCCTCCAACCAAGAGGTTGCGAGTTCGATCTCCACCCCAATATATTATACTCAAAAAAATCAAAATTACGATAAAAATAAAATTGGATATGAAACTATGTTATGAACTAGAGTTTTATCCTAAAACTGGATTTAGTAAAGTTGGGAGTTGAGAAGGGTGATCGAAATTTAAAGGCAGAAAATGGTGAAAGGAAACAAAATCAGAGGTTCTCCTTCATCCTCGAGTATTTCTGGGAATAAAAAAGGCTCCATACATCGAGAAGAGGGAAGCATAGGTAAGGCTAATAATCAATCACAGATTCACAACACAAGGAATTGGGATTGGAATTAAAACAAGTTATTAGCTTGCAAGAGTTGATGAGCTCGAGAGAGCTGGTTCATCAATGATGCGATTTGTTGGTGATAATCACGAGCCTGTGTGAGAGCCTCTGCCTCCAGCTCCCCCAGCTGCGACGAAAGCCTCTCTTCAGCCTCCTCTGCCACCCTCAGCCTTTCCCACGCCCTCTTCAGCTCCTCCCTCATAATCTCCTCTCTCTCGTGGCTCTGCTGCAGCTCCTTCTCCAGCTCCTCGTTTCGGTTTCGGTTCCCATTCCGATTCCGATTCCCCACTGGCTCCTCTTGCTCTTCGCCTCTCTTTCCTGATTTCAGCAACCCCATTTCCTGTTTCCTATTTCCTGTTTCCTGTTTCCTCCCCTCGGGATTCTTCTTCTTAAACAACAATCACTCTGACTCTGGGGTGTCTAGGTTCAATGTATCTATCCCTCTTTTCGTAGCCTTTACTTTTTCTTTTCCCATTATCTTCTTTATATTATTCAACATCTATTGTCTGTATGGTTGTTGTCTTGTTGTCCACTCTTCAAGATTCGGCATATTCCATTCTTAACCCACTTAATTTAACCAATTGCCTCTGCGCCACTCAAATTATTCTACACAAAAAGTCCAATCCTTTACAAACAACAACTCCTCTTCCTTCTTCCTTCTTTGCATTTTTAAAAATAACATAATTCTAAAGTGATTGTTGGTTTAAGTGATTTCTGGTCCGTAGTCTTTAGGCTCAACTTAGTAAAGATCCGAGCACGTTAATCTCAAAGATGAGTCGAGATTCCATGTATTTGTAAGCGAGTTTACCCTTAGTATTTAGATGCAATTCATAGTCGGTCATTAGATGCATGTGACATCCCCTCTCGAGATGGTGGTGTACCCCAAAGACCATGCGGGTATTAACCATCTGCAGTGGATATAACCCATTCAAACTCCCTCAAGTTTATGTTGGAAACCTTTCTATATTCTCCTTTTCTTTTTTTACGATTAAAACCTTTCAAATTCTCTTTAAAAATCTACCATAACTATAATGTATATGTTATGCTAGTTTTAATTAATTTCCTCTATCCCTCTCTCGACTTTTCATAATCACTTCGTCGTCTCCTAACTCTAAGTTTGATTATCATAGTCAAGTTTGTTATTTGCTTAAATGAATCTAGCGACCTCAAAATTCTAGATTTTTCCATTCCATTTATTCTACTTTTTTTTAATTTATTTTATATTATTCAATAAATTAATATTTGGAATTTGTTTAGATTTGCATACTTTATCATATTAATATGAAATAATATAAAAATAAAATTTTAAATGATATATTCTATATTAATATCTAAATTTTGACTAAGATCTCATATCATCTCGAACCACTTAATGATATAAAAAGAGAATATAATAATTTAGATTTGAAACAGAAAATAATGGGAAAGGAAAAAGAAAGGCCATGAAAATTCAACGCGCAAAAGTAGGAAAAAACAGAAATGGACTGGATACACTGAACCAGGACACCCAGGAATTCAACCATAAATAAGGTACTTTAAACAGCAATAACAAGAAAGGCAGCACAAAGGGATTGTCACACAGACTTCAGAAAACAAACAGATTCACCTTGGAAAGTGTTCTCCTCGAGCACCCCTAGTATCCTAGCCACTGTTAGAGCTGTAACTGGACTCGCGAATGCCAGGCCATACTTTTAGAGAACAAGTGTGGGATTCACACCTTATGGTCGAGGTGTGGTGGGATTCGCCCTCTAGGTTGGGTAAGTCCCAACATCAAGAATGTCATCATTATCATATGCTTATAAATGATAAGGTGGGTTACAACCATTTAGAGAATGTCATTATTTCCGAAACTAATCCTAATTAAGCTTAAATCTTGGTTGGAGTTATATGCTAATAACCGTTGAACTATGCTCACTTTGACATAGCTCATGTAGATTGACATCACATTGGTGCCTCTCATCTTTTCTCTCATGTAGGTGATCCTTTAGCAAAATCCAAGTCAGAAAAAACCTTACATCTCTTAGCCACCCATCTTAACCGAGTTGACCTTTTTGTTTGAGCTCAGCTCGTCTTAATTTTCGTATATACGAACATGGGATACGGATACAAGCACAACAAAACATGACGATAGGTTAATTTCTAAAAATACTAGGACATTGAACATTGTTTTCGGATATATGTAAATATAATTAAACATTGTTTTCATATATATGTAAATAAATATGAAATACTAAATGTACACTAAAACTGTTCACGAGCCAAGGTGGAAGGTGGAAACTTGGGAGGGTACGACAGAATTTAGGGTTTCTGGGAGGCCATAATCGTGGGGTGGTTATTTTTGTTTAAACTATGGATTTAAAGTTTAGTACATACATGGTCTATTTAGAAATTATAATTACGTAAAAGGATTGAAAAATATATAATTTACACTTTTGTCATGAAATAACCCTAATTAGATGGTACCCATTGTTGATGCGTGGATTTTGCTCTCCTGGTTCCTTCTGAAGTTCGCACCCAACTTGATGATTAGGGAATCGAAGACCTGCAAAATCGAACAAAGCTAAACCGGTGTGACTCCTGTCACATGGGCTCTGATGCTTAAGTTAGCAAGGAGAGTAGATGAATAGTAGAATTCCAGTGTAGAACTCGGCTTACCTTAGGGTTAGGTTGCATTGCCTATTTATAGTCGCTCAGAAAGTTCCAGAACCTTTGGTTAAGTGAGCCCTACTTCACCGTTGCAAGGCCCAAGGTACATGGACATCAGAAGAGGGCATTTGTCGGGCTCAACAATGGGCCGAGCCCGGCTCGACACCGAGCACGGGTCAGGACCGAGCCATGCTCGGCTCGGTCCGGTTCCACCAGTGGCTCCCTTGGTTCTCTTCTCTTCTGTTGGTCTGCCGTTTGTTGTTTTTCCTTTGCATAACAATTGCCCCTACTCCTAAGGAGATGCCTTTAATTTTGTCTTCATCTCCTTGGGAGTATGTTAATACAGGTGTTGGAGCACGTGAATAAGAAGCTTTATCAGGGAGTAGTCAGATCGTACCTAACCTTTCACATTCTGCTAAATCCATGACATAAAGGAAGAATCTTCTTGGCTGTCGTGCCCACCACCATTGTCGTGACTTGCCACACTTTGCTAGGTCCGTGACCGAGGAGGTCACGGGTTCCTCGAAGATTGTGCTGAGCATGTCTCGGTCTCGTGATCAAAGACCATCAGTCCGAGCCAGTTGAGCTGTCTTATCATTGTAAGACTCAAGAAGGTCACGGGTTGAGTTGTCCCATCATTGTAAGACCCATGATCGAAAAGTTCACGAGCTCCTCGGGTACCGAGCTGAGCAGGCCTTGGACAAATTGTCAAAGACCACCAGACCAGGAGCTAGCTCCTATGTTGAAGGCTATTTGAACCTCTTCAATCCTTCCAGTGTCGATCATCCCTTCATCTAAGGTACATTTCTCTTTACTTTGCTTTTGTTGTGTTTCCTTACCACCATGGCATCTGATCTTAACTTCGAATGGACCTCTTCAGACGACGGGTCATCGTCGAAACCCTCTTCCAGGTCTCGGCCTTACCGTCCCTCTTGGGTAGATAATTCCACTCTTACGGCAAGCGACTTACACCGTTTGCGTTCAAAATACTGCATTCCTGATTCAGTTAGCCTTCGTCTTCTGAATCTGGGAGAAAGTATTGACGGGTCTCCCCTAGAGAGGTTGTATTTTATGCAGGCATGTTCCAATTCGGTGTCCGTCTACCGTTGCCTCTGTTTCTTCAAAAAATTTTAGCGTTCAATCAAGTAACTCCTTCTCAAATCGTTCCCAACGGGTGGTCTACTTTGATTAGTTGCTTCATTTTGTGGTCCTACTTCGGGGGTGAGCAACCTCTAACTGCGACCAATTTTATGTCGCTCTATTTCCTCAAGCATAACCCTGAGGATAATTTTCATTTTTACGTTAGCTCTCAGAATCAAGTTCTTGTTATGGGTCCTTCTTTAGTGAAGCACTGGAAGGACGAGTGATTCTTTGTCGGCGGTGACTGGCTAGCCCGTGACGAGAGATGATTGCATTTTCCCGTCCCGACTGACTGTAGGGAGCTAGGTAAGTAGATTCCCAAGCTCTATCGGGACTTTTCGTAGATCTTTATTTCTGATATTTCTCCCTCTTTGTTGACAGTTCCTCGTAATTGTGAGCTCACTATCGAGGCGTTTGACTTCTACCACACCGTCATCCAGTTGTCGGATACCGAGCGTTGGGGCCCAGATCTGGTTAAGGAATAGAATCTAGTAGACTTTGGCTTGGCTCCCCCTCATCACCCCCAGATAATTGCTGAAAACCATTCCAAATTTTGCGTGAAGGTCGATTTTCACTTTCACT